TAAAAATGATTTATTCAGATGTCTTGAGTCATGACATTTCATCTCCAGGCCACCCACTCCACGGTGAAAGAGCCCGTCTATAAGTCACAGGATTATTTATTTATTTCAAATGGCAGGCATATTGGTAGTCACCATTAGCCCTTTAGCTGACTACGGACTTCACAGAGAGGGGGGGGGAGGAACATTATAGTGAGAAGAATTCGAGAGAGGGGAGGGGGGAAAGAAGAGTGATTCACAGATGTAGAGGAGACAGACAGACACAAAGGCAGAGAAAAGGTAAGATTAGTACTGTTTAAGTGGACGAATATGACATACAGTGGGGTCATGGTAGTTTGAAGTCAGAAGTCAACTGCCGGTTAATAGACTTTTTTGCCGTATGAGTATACGTTGCCCAGTCACACGATTATTAGCATTGTAAAATAAACTGCAAACAGAGCTACGGTCAATTTATTTTACATTTAGAAAATAACTAAAGAACTGGAGATAGTTCGCCCCGTGGAGGAACATGGCCCCTTTCGTTCTATCATCAATGTAGGAAGCCCTAAAAAAACTATGAAGGATAAGGGATTGTCTGGCACTTCACCAAAAAAAATTGTAAGTAATGGAAGGATCTTCATTCAAAGAATATTTCATAATAAAATGGTCAATTGTTTTTTATATGCAGTTAAAATTTGAAATCCAATGAAGGCAGACAATTAGTATTTTCTGAACCCATTGAAGAGAAATGCATTTTAGCGCTCATTTTGGGTCATTTAGAAGACATTTCGCGAATATTCACTTCCGTATTTTTTGTGAATTTTAATCAACTTACTAATTTTGATTTTTGAGTTGCAGTTATGTCATTTCAAGAAAAATTGATTTTTGATATAACAGTAAAGTATGAATAATCTTAAAAGTCTTCCGTGTGTTATTTTCAAGAGCGGAATGGATTCATCAAATGAGGAAAATCAATTTGCTTGGGTGAATACAAGCAAATTACGAGGAAATGACCTAGAATTTGGATTTCAAGACTCCTTCTTTGGACATAAGTGAATTGTTCAAATAATTAGTTCCTCAAAATGTGTGGTGATCCAAGCTCTACCCCCAAACTGATTATATTCCCATTCCAAAATTTCATATTCTGGATTTTCACTCTTTAAATATTTGTATAACGTTTTATTCCGACGCTTTCAACAAAATAATCCCAATTTCCAGAATACTTTCCCTGTTTTGATATAAGATTTATTTATTTATACCAAATGATAGACTTTTGATAGTTATTATTGTCCCTTAAGCTGACTTTGGGCTTCACAGAGAGGAGGAGGAACATCGAGAAAGTGGAGAAAATAAAGATTAACAGATGTGAAAGAGACAGAGAGACACAAAGGCAGAGCAACGGTAAGATGAGTACTCTGGAAGTGGTTGAATATGACATACAGTGGAGTGGTGGTAGTTTGAAGTCAGAAGTCAACTGCCGGTTTATAGACTTTTTTTGCGTATGAGTATACGTTGTCCAGGTCGCACCACGCGGAGGTAAGTCTATCGCACAACCCGGTTTGCTAATATTATTTTAATAATCTCCACTACTCCGATGGACATGATGAGGGCTACATTTATCCGCATTACAAATGCACCGGTAGTTGAACTATTGGCGTTTTACATCTACGTTATCCGCCTTCTCAAACTTAGTTGAACAAATGATGCTTTACATTTGTAAAGCCGGGCTAATAAAAAGTAGCATAATTCGAGTTTCTCACCACAGACCTCTCGTTATTATCCCTCAATTCGAGGAGACTACTAGAGCCCTTTCCTCATTGTTCTTAGAAAGTTTTGTTCGTGTAACAAATCCGATTTCCTCTACGTGAACGAACTGCTCCGGTTAATTTTGTAATTTACGCGGAGTAAAAAGTGTCTAATATAGATGCATGAAATGACCCTTATACTTTGACCTGAGGGTGAATTAAAAATAGGGAAAAAAGTTGTAAACATCCGGAGGTGGAACAATTCAGTAGGAGGAATGGAAGCGCCTTTGTCTTCAGACCATAATGTCATCAAACTTAGTAGAATTATAGTACTTTCTTAAGTTTACTCGAGAAAAGCAATAGTGATGTCATTTGGACGTGCTTAGTTGGTATATTTTGTTATTTTCATTTGGATTATAGGAGTGATCAGAACTGTTCCTCCTCCTCCTCCTCATCATCATCGTCATCGGCCGGGCCACTTTACTACAACGGAATAGTGGCAGATATAAATGAAACGTTCAATTCAACGATGGAATCCTACCAACTGCCAGATCATCCTTCCGACAGTATTACCTTTTTCAAGAAACTTCGTATCAACCTCAATACCCTTCATATTGACAGTAAATTTGTTTATTTGTGTATTGCCAATCAGTCCTATTCAATATTTGTTTATGTCAGATTTAAGTGAATAATAAGTATAATTTCGGAAATATAATATTAAGTGCTTTAGAGAAAAAATTAAGTAATTTTTTTTTCAATTAATATTTAAATCCTTGTGCAAATTTTAGCTTATTTACTAATTCACAGTTACCTTTCCTAATATTTGTTATAGTATTTGATAGAAGATTCATTGATGAATGGGGACAGTTTGTTCCTTATGCTATCGCGAAATCGTGTTCTCGTAACACTTGTCAACTGGTAAGCTTCCTGTTCATCATATTACTGACACCTTTTTTTAATAATAATTTGTTTTTTTTGTTCGTTTTCAGGGTAAATTTCTAATAAATCTGGAAGACACTGGTTTTGCAGTTTCTAAGGAAACACAGTGGAGGACTTCAAGAGAAAAATCCATCGGACGAGTAGTTAGAAGTGAAGTAAGTTTCGAACCATCCCTTTCCATATTAGTTATTATGAAATGGCTGATAAGTGAGACCATTTTTTTCGACAGAACTCGCAGATAATCGTGGGAACATGTGGTGGAGATTGTGGTGGCTGTTGGCCGGATCCCTTCCTGCTTCTCGACGTAATTGATTTGAAGTCAAGGTGATAGAACCGTTCTGTCCCCTCTTCTTCGATCAAAAACAAACCAAAAGAACGCCGTCTACAATTGATTTACCACAATACTTGCCTCTCTTCTATTATTACCTCCAACCTGCCTATATATTTTAAACGTTTCTATTTTTTTAAAACCCCCCCCCCAATGAAATTCAAACGCAGAAATATGCTAATCCGCAGACAACTCCTCCTCCCGCCCCCC